GTTAGTGAGAGGCCTTTCATTTCCTGGTTAGTGAGAGGCCTTTCATTTCCTGGTTAGTGAGAGGCCTTTCATTTCCTGGTTAGTGAGAGGCCTTTCATTTCCTGGTTAGTGAGAGGCCTTTCATTTCCTCGTTAGTGAGAGGCCTTTCATTTCCTGCCCCTGAAGATGAACCAGTCAGATGGACATTTGCGCTGTGAAGCTGTGTCGTTCGCCTGCCTCGTACGTTTTGAGTGTAAAACCGGAATCCCAGCCCTTACATGAGCAGAGCGATAAGTAAGTGACTAATTGTGCTACTAACTAGTTAGGTGGTGAGCTTAGTGTGAGGATTTGCTTGCTCGAGTGAGGAGTATCTAGTAGAGAAGACATCGATACGGATTAAAAAGATTACCTCCCATTGTAAGGGGGGATACTGTTAATGGGCTTTTTATGGGACTGGGGAGTACAGTAGGCATAAATGCTAAGTTATCCTAATCATCAGCCCATTCGTTATGCAGAACGTTAGCTGTAATGAAGTGTTCTGTTGGGAATGCTTTGTATTTAATACACATCTATTAGCATTTTGCTAAATGTTAAACACTTTGTGTAGCACAGGTTACATCCTGTCCAGCTTGTCACTGATTAATTTCCTCATCCCGAGATCTTTGCTGTAACTTTTTTTTTTTTTGTTTTTAATTCACTATTTGTTTGAAATCCAATTTCACAGAATGATTTTTATGTATTCGCTTGCTTGTTGCTGTAAACAAGAAGATGCCTGCTAGCCTTTCGACAGGTGGAAAGTTCTGGTCCAGAAAGTCAAAATCCAGACCAAGAATTTGTTTCAGCCAGCCAGTTGAGTACTTTGTGAATGTGACTCTTTATGCTCGACTTGGTTGGTTGAAACAAAATCTTAGCCTGGATTTTTACTTTCTGGACCTGAACTTTCCATTGCTGCCTCTCAAAGCATGCCCTTACGTGGCCTGAAATGTAAACCTTGTCCGATGTTTTTGCTGCACCAGGACCATAGTCACCTGGCTAAATTAACTACTTTAGGATACATAGCCCACATCACAGTTGAAGAGCATGTTGCATGGACTCCTCAGCGTCCGATAGCAGCCGTACATTGCGATTCCTGGTTTGAAGCAGGAGGATCCTGCATGGGTGCAGGCTGTACATTTAAATGTTTTATGCCTCGTGTGAAATATTGTAATGTAATGCTAATGCTTTGCCCTTCAAGGTCAGGCGCTTCCAACGGCTTGGAAACTCACCCTCGTGTTTTCCTCTTCTTTTTTTTTTCCCCTCCCCCGTCACCAGAGAAACTCTCCAACGCTAAGGAGGAGAACATAGGGATACACCAGGTGCTGGATCAGACCCTGCAGGAGCTTAACAATTTATAGAGTGTCACCTCTCCCAAAGAAAGGGAGGTGGGGATGTAACCAAGAGCAAAGCTTTATTACAGGGCCGGTCACACACCGACACGCCAGCATTGTACATCACACCTCCAGGAAGGATGGCTCTTACGGAAAGGGAACTCCATGTTAGATCTGTATGTCTAGTTGAGGGTAGGTGATAGATATGTGTTCTGCGTTTTTGAATATGGCTGCAGCAGTCTCAGCGTTTTAACATAGATAGCATTGAAACTTTCGCTCTCGCGACCTTCCCTGTCGTTTTCCCCACATAGAAATCACGTCCCCCGACGAAGTCTAACTAATGAATTAATCTTTTGCCTGAATCGCATTCATGTTATAACAAGCTTCGACGAATGAAGTCTTTTTAAAAGTTTGTAGCCTGTATTGAAAAATCTTCTGTCTTCTGTTAACAAAACGTTTATTTTCATGGACTGTTTTATCTGTGACCTTGATCTGCGTGGCTGGAGTATAACAATGGACTCTTAACTGGTAATAGGATACCATCCTCAGACAGCAGAATGGATAAAATACAGCTGTATTTGATTATTCAGAATTATTAAAAGTGCTGTGTTGCCAAGACTTCAGAGCTTGTAAGTTTAGAAATGTCACCTTGAGAGACGGGCATAATGTTTTGTAATTACGACCATGATTTCTCTGGCCGTTTTTTTTTGTACTTAATTTTTATGAAATTAACATTGAAAGTTATTGCATTTGAGAAGATTGGTGAATTTTGATTCTGAGAAATCTTATGAATTCCTTGTGGTCATCTTTTGGTTGAGAATATTTTAATTTGATTCTTTTTGCTAATATGTACTGTACGTAATTTTTCCAAAGGCCTGTTTTTGACTGTTGTCTCTTGTCCCTGGGTACCAATTGGCAGTGTAGGTTTCTGTAACACTGGAAAAAATGTATTATTGACCTGGAATGTGTTGCAGTTTTAAATTCAAAGTCTGAAGTTGCTCTTCTCCAAAATTAAATTTTCCCTGCATTTTTATCCTATGCAATTGGCTCTGTATGTTTCCTGTTTAAGATTATTAAAAGACTGAAAAAAATGTGGTTTCTCGTTTATTTATCTTTTATGTAAATCAGATTACTTTGTCACATCATTTGAAACTCTGCAGAGTACAAGTACACAGTGATAGTTACAGTGTGAGCAACGTATTATGGTAACACAGTAATATTCAATTCAGTTCAACTTTATTGTCATTATAGTATGCAGAGGTACACATATAACAAGAAGTGTCATATGAATGTGATGTGGATATGCATGACACTGTGAATGGGTTCACTGACCAGAATTCAGGAAATGCTCTACAGGAAATGTTTGTGTGTGGTTTATTTTTCATTCCCTGTAAGCTTGGAATATATCATTTCACTTCAAATCTCCATAAATATATATGATTTAAAAAAGTAAAAGCATCCACTGTGTGAGAGGAATGGTAGTATATTTCTGGTATTTAGCATTGGGGGGGGTATTCCCTTGCCTTCTGACACTGCCTTTTCCTAAATAAATAAACTGGATTCCCCACTTCTCTGGACCCTGAGTGAGATTCAGAGTGTTTCCAATATCAACATCCCTGATTGAAAAGTAAATAAGACAAACAGCCTCAGCAGGGGCCGAAAGTGCTGAGCTGTGACAGTGAGAAGCTGCTTAATCATGAGCTTTGGTGGAACCGGCATACACGGCAGCATTTCAGCATGGGAGACGCCGATCGGACACAAATGCCGGTGAGTACGGCATCTGGCTGCAAGCTTCACCGTGGCCTCATTCCCTCGAAGCATTTCAGAGATTCTCCTCAAGTACCAGCCATGATTTTTACACATTTGTTCTCTTCCCTTGATAGATGATCTAAAAAAAAACTAGGCTTCTGATTATATATATCAGGTAAATTGCAGGCAAACATAACATCTAATGGTTCTCAGGTAAATACCAGGTACAGTAGCTCTCCAGTGCTGGAGTTGGAGATCCCTGACCTAAGGAATTGCTGGGGGTGAGTATGGAGGGATTGGAAATGCTGGTTTAATTGTCTATAAAGATAAATAGCAACTTCATAATCCCAGGGGGAGGTTCTGAAAAAGGACAAAGACCCACATACCTTGGCACAGGGTTCCCCAAGAAGTGGCCCGTGGGCTAAACCTGCTCCGTGAGGATGGTGTTACGTGCATCAGTCTGTTTTTACTAAGGTAGTGTTACCATCAGGCTTAATCATTGGAAAATGGAATGACTGATCTGCATATAAAATGACTTACATCTTGGAAATGAAAGAATATCAGGGACAGAGGTCCTTGGTTTTGTGTTGTTGATAGGGACACCTGGCCTTTCGCAATTGACCAAGGGTACTACTGGGACTTGAACCCAGGATCTCCCGGTTATTAGGCAGGCTCTTTAACTAGCTAAACCATAGTACCACTGTGCCTGGGGCATTAATTGTTTTCAGTTCTCATTAATCTCTGACAGAGATAACATTGGTTTGATTGGCAATTAAAGAATAAGTCAAATTAATTGCTTCAGTGCATAGTTAAACTGAACCACAGCAGACACTACTGGATACCAAGCCCAGGATTAAAAGACACTAATCTAGGATCAACTGATTCACCAAGTCGGGGGACCAATTATTAGTGAAATTCCATTTAATTTAAAATAAACTGAAATAATAAAAGCACACCTTTATCAAATATCAAAGAGATGTTAAAACCTTCCTTCACTGATACTCTGTTTTGTTTTAAAGATACAAACTAAAACTTTGACTTAGAACCTTTCTGTGTCATTTTTATGTCTGTTGTGATATTCTGCTTTGTGGTATTCAGTATTTTAGCATTCAGCTGATTGCAGCTGCACTGCCTTGTCTCACCTGGTTCCCAAATTTCAGAAGCTAAAACGGTTTGGCTTCATCTGAAGGAGGATGAGAAACGTCTCTGCAAAACCTGGTGAAATAATTCTGCCAGCAGGGGGCCCTCTCCTTCTGGATGTGAAATAAAAATGTCCACTGTACTTGGAAAACCATCTCCATGATCCTACAGTATATCAGTATATGTATCAGGCAATGTTTCACATTTACATTTATTTATTTAGCAACTTGACTAAATAAAATGACTAAATAAGGAAAGCTGGGGGTCAGAGAGCAGATGCAGCCCCACTCAGCACCCCACCCCGCAGCAGGGGTTAATGACAGGCATCACCCAAAAACCCCGGATTTAGTGTGTACTGTTGCAAAAGTGGATGTTTTGCAAAGTCTACCTAAGCTCAAAATAAATAAATCACAGGGCCCTGATGGCATCTTACCTATAGTGTTAAAAGAGACGAGAGATATTATTTGCCGACCCTTAACTTTACTGTTTCAAAAATCCTTATCTGAAGGTGTGGTACCTTCTGATTGGAAGCATGCCAACATAACGCCCATTTTCAAAAAAGGGGATAGAAGTAATTTGTCAAACTATAGCCCAATCAGTCTTACTTCTATAACTGGTAAAGTTATGGAGGCTATAATCAAAGAGAAAATGGTAGATTACCTGGACTCAAATAACATTTTGAGGGATAGCCAGCATGGATTTAGGAGAGGTAGATCCTGTTTAACAAATCTGTTGGAGTTTTTTGAGCTACTCAGGAAGTTGATGATAAGAAGGCCTATGATGTCATCTACTTAGATTTCCAAAA